CTCGCAGGTTCCGATTCACGGCCAATGCCCAAAGCCCACTCAATTCGCCAAGGCCTCCGGGCGGCAACCGCAGGCTCCCGGGCCTAAAGGAGAACTCCCCAGGAAAGGTCTGCTGTCCTTCTGGGTGGCAGGGGCCTAGAGTCTCTCCTGAGATATGCAGTTTCCATCAAAAGGGAAAAAGCTAGATGCCACTCAAAATGATTCGCTCTCATTAGCGTTGACAATCACTTTCTAAGCACTGTGGACCCTATCAGAATCAGGAAATTCGATGTATGTCATTTGCCATGGTTGGAAATGGTGGAAGCAGTATTGCGTTTGACAGCGTGATGGTAGCTATTGCACCGATGTCATGATAGCTTGGTTTGTGTATACTGCTTCATTCCCAATGCGCACACCTGTTGGCATAATGGTTGTCGCGGAGCGTAAAGGACAAAAAACACGTGCTGAAAGTGTCCTTTGGTTGGACTACAGGATGCTGTTCAACACCAGTTCTGCAGAACAAAGTTCTGATGGCAAAGGGTGTGTAGGAAAGTGTCAATGAATCGCCAAGACAAACACAACTAGAGTGTTGTCACGCCTACGAAACAGCTTGTTTGCCCATTCGCCCATGTTCCCTCACTAGGGAGCTCGCTCTCATCATCGCTCGGCCTAGACAAGGCCGACCCATGAAACCAGAGGGTGCCGTGGGCATCTGACCTCTGTGATGGACATCATTTTAACGGGGATTTGCTTCAACCAACCCCGTTTGAGGGGTGAATCGAAATTCATAGCACCTTCAAAGGCTCCCAACACCAGGCGAAGCCCTACTTGAGTGCGTATCACAATCACATCGTGCTTCTAAAAGAAACATGAGCAATCTGAATGTGCCTGTCAGCAGTGGAACCACTCATGGAGCCTTGACCATTGGAATAGGTGCAAAAGCCGTACCTCATCCCATTTCGAGCTAGCATCTCCAACCGATTTATCTTTCTCTACATCACGTAGCAAATTCTGCGGCGTTGGATCGCCCAAGTTTGGGCAAACATGTCCCAGCTCCAATGTTGAGCAAGACCAAATATTGGCAACAAACAGAGTCTCCGTGTCCTCCCTTATTTCTTCTTGGAATCAGTGTGTCACTTGATGTTGCATGTCAGGATGTTTTGCAAGCATTCTTGTGCAGGCCATTGCTACCGGCCGTTGCTATTGGTGGTGCAGTAATGGAAAGGCGTTCCACTGCAATGGATGGCAGGGCCCTGATGTGTCCACCGCATGCTTTCCTGATAACATGTCTCGTTCTTGAGACAAAGCAAGCTGTATGAGTTTGAGTTCCCTAAGAACTGCACTTGAGTTGCTGAGGCTTCATCTCATCCTGAATATGGAGTCTGCATTGTTGGGGCACGTGTGCGTCTGTGAGCTCTGCAAAAGCCAAACTTGTCCATCCAATTAAAAGGAACAGGCGTGCAATGCCAGGAAGTAACCACTGAAGTGAGACACCCTTCGCTCAGCACGACCTTCCATTTCTCCCAAGCAAGCTTCAAGTGGCCAACAGGTTCCAAAGACCCACAAGCCCCATTTGAAATTCACAAATGAAATTTGGGTCCTCCACCCCTAGTCCCCGGTACAGAGGCGCCCCTTTCGACGCCGCCTTCAGATTCCGCCAAGAAGGACTGGAGACCTCGGCAAGAAGAATTTGGCAACACTTCGGTGGCCGCCGGTGCCCAAAGCATCTGGCCGCAATCAGTCCTCAAAGCAAAGCCTCGGCCTCACCAAAAGTCACCAACCGACTGGCCGACTGGTAAGCACCTAAACATGGGCCACAAGTTCAGCATGAGATACGTGGATGCTCCAGTCCCTAACTGCAAATTCAAAGCCTTGCCAGCATGCCTTGGCATGTGACATGCCATGCACTCACGCTGGCATGCACTCACGGCGTGTGAACGACATGTTGAAGCCTGAAGCCCTCAATCTCAGGCTGGGGAGATCTGAACAGCAACTTGGGATCCATTTACATTTCAAACTCGTACCCTGAGCCTCGAGCGCAGATTCTCTTGCTGTGCCTTCTGCCTGTGCGCGTGGTTGGGACGACTGGTGGCTTTCCTCTTCTTAAATCACCCAAGAGGTTTGAACCCCAAGATGGCTCCAGTTTTCCTATTGGCATTCATTGAACACAAACCAAAAAAAGTAACTTCAAAAAAACACCCAGCCAAATTATTTTGGGGCAATTGGAAGATCATGTTACTTGGAGGCAACCGACAAAGGTGCAGAATGACAAGGCTGTGTCGGCTTCCCGTTTGCGAGATTGTTTTAGCGGGAAACCCAAGGCTAGCCGTTTTGAAGTGCAGCTCAAGGCGTGCTGGCTTGCAGCTCTCCAACGGTGGGACAAGAAAGCATGTCCAGTCTTGGTTCAGCCGTGGTATTTGCAGCTCTTGGAGGGGGCTCCTTTGCAGCGGCCGTTGAACGTCACGGGGTGCATTGGACAGCACTTTGCAGGCTTCACCTGTTGTATCCTGCGTGTGTGGTCAAAGGAATTCAGTCATCAAAAAAAAGATTCAGAATGTGTGGAGGGTCAGCTCCATGTCATGGAAAGGAAACAAAGCAATACCAAACAGCACCCAAAGATATCATCCTGTTGTACAGCAACAGACATTATCCTCCTGCGCTTCCCCTGATTTCATGTCATGGCAATGGCTCCCCAGGTTGATGGTCTACCCGTGAAACGGTGTCTTGACCTTGGCGCGCCTTGCGCTCCTCTGTGGAGACAGCCAGCTGGCAACCCAGTGGCTCAGCGCCCAGCGAAGCCTCAACTGGGGCGCCGCTGGATGCTTAGGGCAGCATAGCAATGCTTTCGGAGTTGTTGTGGAGGTTTGTCAGCTTTGAACGCCAAAAAGAAACGACCGCGTGGGGGTTTTCCATTGAATCTCATTTGGAGACAAATGCCTCTCCTGCAGTGACGATGGGCGAAGCTGCTATCTGCCCAGTTGGTTCACACTTGACTCTTGCCTCGTGCCTTCCCTTAGTGGGGTAAACAAGTTGCCCTGGATATTTTGAGCAACCTGGCAAAATGCTGCGAAATCTCAAATTGACCCGGTTTGGTGATGGTGATCCAAGTTTGATTGCACGCTAAAGACAAGCTTGACTACTACTATCCAGCGAGTTTACAGCCCTGTCAAACAGGTGCAACTTGGCAAAGTCAAAGTCAATGAGTCTGACCTTCCACGTCCTCTGCACATACGCACATCGGTCCCCAATGGCAAATAATATGATGCCACTAGCCCTCCCCTACACCGGCATCCTGCAAGTTCACCAGCACGCTGCCGCCACCCATCAGCAGCAGCAACAGCAGTAGCAGCAGCAGCAATAGCCAAAGAAGCAAATGCAGCAGATGCTGGTGAGCCCATGCTGCGCTGGACCTGTGCAAGTAGGGACAGCCCAACACATCAGCAACCAAGGAGTAAACCCAGTGGGGCAGAATGTCCGATATCTCGCCCTTTCTGCACCATCGAGGAATGACGAACAGGTTCTCACGGGTTGTCCATGTTGATGTAAACTGGCACCCTCCAAAAACACCCACAACACAGCGAGCCTTGGTCCACTGAGGCGCCGGCAGCAGGCTGCCTGCCACAGCCTGCGGTTTCTAATGGCTTTCCAAAAGGCTTGGCAAATCCCGATCCATCCCCAGAGCAAAACCCATTACAAAGCGGACCCTTATCGCAAACCAAAGGAAGGATCAAAGGCTTGAAGGCTTGTCGTTGAGCAGGGGCCCTGATCATTTTGAGGGAACCCACAAGGTGCTTGGCCCGAGATGTGAGATCCGCGTGCCTCAAATTCGGACCTCCAGCGCAGGTCGGCCAGGTGCCTCCTAGCACTGCCAGGAATTTCATCACACGCACGGTCCGATGGGCGTGAGAAGTAGGTGACGCCCAGAATGGCGATTTCCCTTTGGCGTCCACTTGAAACCACCTCCAAAAAGGGTAGCGTCAAGAACACCCACAGTCAAAGATTCACCTTCCCAATGCATCCACCCTTCCATTGGGCTAGTCTGGCAAAAAGCAAGCGCTTCAAAGGAAAGGACTCACCAAGAGATGGCTTGGCCGCTCCTTCCGCGGTGTTGAGTTTTGCAAAACTGCGAAGGGTTGTTGGCAGGACCCCAATTAAGGATGTCAGCTTGGGTACGCCAGGATTCCGCTTGCTTCTAAATGAGGAATTTAAAAATGAATGAAGACAATAATCACCGCAAACCCTTCCCGATCACACAACAGCAAATAAAAAGGTTTCATTGTGGATAGTTGGATATCGGCAAAATATCTTGGAGCACTTAAAGCATGTCCATCCTGCCGCAAGCTCTGCAAACACGGGGCTTCCCCATTTGCCCCCTTCAAACATTACTCCTCCCAAAGCAACTCCCTCCAACCTAACAACAAACAAAATGATCTCAAGCCACCCCAAAAGAAAAGCTATACTGCATGGCTATGGTACAGTGGTGCGAAAGTTGGCACAAATCTCTTGGATAAGAGTATGGCTCAACTGAAAGTTGTGCCATTCACCGGGTTCCCCATACAAAGGAAACTTTCAACTAGCCCAAAAGGCGATGTTTCAACATGTTTGAACCAAAGGGGAAATCGAAGCCCTCTGCCCAACCGTGGAAGAGGAGAAAGAAATAGATGAAGAGATAACATTCCATGAAAACCAGCTACAAATTCAGAAGTCATTCAAGCTTTACAAATTTCTGGAGTTCTTGTCCTTCCAAGATACAAAAAGGAAAGAATCCTGACATTAGAATCTAGAAATTATTCAAGCCTTTCCATAAAGACACAGTTTTATTTATCTTTGCTTCTTCTTTAGAATTCCTTTATGTTGGAAATCATTACATTTAGAAGTTACATCAGGTTCATGCTGTTTTCTTGTTAATATGTCAATTTCTATCGTATATTAATCTTTGCAAATATTATAATTCTAGTTTTGCTGACAGGATTTAATATTTATTGCTGGGGGAGTGAAAGGATAAGGACAGGAAGAACAGTTGGCCATAAGACCCTCTCCCACTCACGCACTTCTCTCCACCACCTGTCAGCTCTTGGAATCGCATGCCAGGTAAAAGAACTGATTGGCAGGAGATGGAGAGGTGGTAGACAGGGAATGGCGGCTATCTGTTCATCCTTTAGCCACCTATGTCCTTCCATCTCCTATTCACTTCACTCGCCTTCCAATATTAAATAGTTGGCGAGCGGAAAAGATGGTGAGAAGAAGGACATTATCGATTTCCCTTTATTCTAACGAAATAGTAGATTCTGAATATGAAAAAGGCTTGGAGAAAGAAAGACATAGAATGAGGAAGGGATATGATAGCTAAGCCTCTGAACCCATAATCTATTACCAACCAATATTAACCCTAAGCATTTCCAGAAGATGCAACATTCTTATTTCCTAAATCTCAGATACATGTTCATATCTATATAAATTAGTTTCAACATTAATCTGTTGTCTTCTTTTATTTTTTGTTACTTTCTAAATCTTTCATGAACTTGCCTAATGTCATTCTTATTTCCGCGAAAACTGCTTTACGAGAAATTCCATGAGAAGGCAAGTACAAAGTGAGTCCAAGAGACACCATATAAACGGTCTAACCTTACTATCATCTCCCATCCCTTTATCTCGCTTGGAAGCGGCTTCTGGATAGATAGAGATATAGAAAGTGAAAGAGCTCTGAGACTCACCAATCATTCCCTTTGGTCACTATATCCTGTCTACTGGTGAGTCCATCCTTCATATCATACCAACCGTTCCATCTATGAGACTCATCTATAGACACAGCATCCGGACGGAGAATGTGGCTATGAGAGGTGAGAGGAGGCTTAGAGGAAGGGTCTCACCAATTGACGGAGGAAATGGTGAGGGCTAGCCCTTCCTTTCACTTCCTTCTTTCCTATCTCTTGGTCGCAAATCCCAGCAGCACAGTCCTGGAGCTCATCTCGGCTTCCCTTTCCTGCCTCGACTGGGTCGCTTTGCTCCAAGCCTCGCAAAGGCCCCCGAAAAAAAGAAACCAACGCCCTGCGTGCTGATTGAGTGACCGTCATCGACATCGGCCTCGCGAATTGAATAATGAACATGAGTGTTTGAACACCCAAATAGGTCAACCCTCAGAAAAGGATTGTTGTTTCGGCATTTCTTGAGATGCTGGTGACCATTTCCATTCTGTATACGGCCTTGCTTGCAATGTGTCCAGGTCGGCTAAAGTTTCAACCCATTTTGCAAAACAATAACAATTCCGCAGCTTTTTACATTGCCCTGCGAAACACTGCCAAGAAGTCGGCCAATATGGCTGGAGTCCTCGCGAGACTCGTGCGGCACCAACTTGAATGCCGCACAGGGCTCCGCATCAGGAATGTTAGAACCCAATCTTGAATGCTCAATTCGGGCGGACCCGCATTCACTCGCACATTGCTTTGTTCAGAAATACCAAGAAATTTGCCAGTTGGCTGCTGTTTGATGTACAGGGCGAAAGATTATCAAGCAAGCAAACTCCTTTCACATGTAGGGCTGACATCCTGTCGAGAGGAAGCCCAGCAAAGAATGATCCTGCAATTCACAAATTCACAAGTAAGTTGGCCAACCTGCCAATCACCTGTTTAGCAACGGTCTGAACATGGTTGCCCCTGTGTATCTACCTCAGCTTTTTGCAGAAAGGACGGGCTTAGAGTCTGGTCCATCTTGGCAAGAGATCCGAGCCATGTGGAAACTCACCCTTGTAATATATATATATATGTATATATCATTCCGAGTCATTCCCATGTCACTTTGATTGGAATTCCCCTAGTATCACAGACAGTATCAGCCTCAATGCCTATGTTTCCACCATGGGTCTAAGGCAGGACCCTCTTCTTCAACCCCCAATGTGCTTCTTGGGCCCAAAAAGCAAGAGGCAAAATGGACTCCTGCACATTTTTTGGCGTTGTTCCCCTTTTTTCAGCATTGTTGCCCCATATTTGGCGGGGTTCCCTCACCCTCTGGTGAAAAGACAGGTGTTGGACACAACCGACACCATGGCCTTTCTGGCTTCACGGATTTGGGACATCCCCCCGCCTCCCAGGCATGGGCGCGCGTGAAGCGCCGCCACTGCCACAAACTGGCAGAGGCGGCCGCAGCCTCCAAACGCCTGGGATCCATTTAAGTCCCAGCAAACCCTTGGAGAACAGAAATGCTTGGATTTATGCCAATGTCCACCAATGTTTGAGGGGGTCGATGAAATTCCATAGCCGTTTCTGCCCATTCTGAAGGGATCTCCAGGGTACCCTTTCTGGGAGTGTTCAAAGAAAACCAATGGAAATGCCAATTTTGAAGATTGCCTCATTTAAGATGACGCTTGCAAGCTTTTCAAGACTTGCGTCTCCGATGCGTCTGATCGGGATCCGGGATCGGCTCTCACATCTCACTCTGGGATGCCGGGCTGGGCGAGAAATGCGGCAGCCCTGGCGATTCACGGAGATGTGCCGCGGAAGCCAGACACAACGTCAAAACAGACTG